GTATTAATAACCAAAAGGTCAATTCATCAGATATTTTTATCTTTATAGTGCCACTAGGTAATTTAGATATTGTTAAGCCTTAACAGGACAAAACATTGCAGAGTGTTTGTTTTTTTATTGAATGACAAAATTTTAAGCTAAGATTTTTTGAATTGGTTACTTATCTAAATAATCAAAAACTTGTTTTCCTTTCCCATGTTTAATCCGCAAACTGCAATATGCCAACAACAACAAATATACCAAGTTTTTAAATCATGTAGAACAGACAATAGAGCTTGTATTATTTGAAGAATAAATTGCAGAAACTAATGAATTCAGAATGGCATCTGTTTCGTTACCCTCTTTCATGGGTTGTTGAATTTTGTATTAACATGGTGTATTGTATAGACACATATAAAAAAAAATAAAGAAGTGAAACTCAAAACTCCAGGATTTGAAAATTTGAAATTAAAGAGAGGACGAGGTATAGCAGGAGCAATTGGGATTATGTATGGCCTTCCTTCCGCTGATGTCTAGTTTAGAACAGAACACACAGAATAGGCCATGCCACCACCTATCCCTATCTTCCTCTTCATCATCGTCAGAGTCACCTGTCATCTCCGTAAGCTCTTCTTCCATGGTCTCCTCCGCCTGGATCCTCCCATCATTACAATTGGCAAAAACCGATCCCAACAATGAAAGAATAATGAAAAAGAAGCCAGTGATCTCCGACGAGGGGAATGAGCGGTGGTCAAGAAAGACTCCGGTTGTTTCTGCAGATGAATGATGGTGTCTCGATTGCAATAGCGGTATGTGATAGTGTTGGTGCAGGCGAACTTTGGATGTGAGGGAGAGGGAGAGAGCAGAACAAAAATGAAAATGAAGAAAAACTTGGAAAGCAGGATCCCAAAAAGGGCGGTTAAACCAAAATTAATAAGTTTTGGAGTSCAGCTGCCGTTAAGATCTGGACTCCGTTAATTTTGAAATTTACAGAAAAGAGAGACGTGGTTGATTATCATTGGTAGGGACAGAAAAGTTTCTGTCCCCTGGGGACAGACGATCTCTACTTGAGGCTTTGGGCCCAAGTGTGGAGTCGAGTGATGGACCGGTTTAAAAGATTGGGTGGTCAGGTTCAGAAGGTTGCCCAATCCCGACATCTACAATTTGGAATCGTTTGAGAGAGACCACGGCTCCTAGATGAGCCAAGTTGCACTTCACATTGGCCAGAAACCTGAGAAACATAATTTTAGCTAAAGGAAACGCAAAAAAAGGCAGGGCTGAGGATTTTGTGCAAGAAACATGCTGACTAGAGAGTGTGGTTCTCAGTGGAGTTAGTGAACAAATCTTTGGGGAATTAGGAGTCAAACTCTTTCCCAACCTTGGAAAAAGGAGAATTGGAGGCGGTCGCCCCAATACTAGTGGAGAGATCAGGAGAGAAATCGATAAATCCCATGATTGTGAGTTTGTGACAGAAGAAGCTTCCCCAGGGCAAAGGGAAGAGTTTGAGTCGCCTGTAGCGGAAAGAGATCTCAGTTCAATAGAATTTTAGGCAGAGAAGGATCTCCAAGTGGCTAAGTCGTTGGGTCTACACGTATGGGACGGGGAAAAGTTTGCGAGAGAGGTTTCCGAAGATTCAAAGAAGAAGCCGAAAAGATGCGAGAGAGTAGCAGAAAATTACGAAAGGGCAGACGTTATACCTTAACGGCAGAAGTCGGTAAGGGGCAGAGGGATGGGAGGAAGGGGTAAGGCCAGTGTTTACTTTTGTTTGTAGATGGAAGGCTTGGTTGTTCAATGTATCCATTGATGCTTTACGGGTTTCGAAAGGCTTGCTCTTGATGATTTATATGGTGTTTGGAAGTGTGATTTTTTGGGACTGATTTTCAAGAAAAAATGTCCATGTTTTCAAGACCCGTTTTTTACAAAAAAAAAGAAAATGTTGCTGCCATGTAGGCAGTGAATAATACTATGTTATTTGGTAAGGTGATTTTCATTACCGTTTTTCATGTATGTGCTAATAGCTAAGCACCACATAGGATATATATCAGTCATGCATCAGTGGGGTCTCGATTTTCGAGGCATGCCCGGTTTTTTAATAATCGGCTGAACCAAATAAAATACATGGGCGTTTGTTGAAACACCTATATAGATCCGACGTGGCACCATTATTTTACAAAACGGCCACGGTTCCAAACATCCCCTTAGTTATTTTTGTTTTTGGTTTTTGTTGGTTTCGAAACAGACCTGTTCATGAGCCGGGCTCGCACTTGGCTTTTATCAAAATTTGGATGGGCCTGGATCAAAGCCTGAGCCTGATACAGTGTAAATCAGGCCCAAACCCTGTCCCATGAACAAGTCTATTTGGGAGGTTGGTGAAAGGCTCTTGGGTGGTTTCAGATTTGTTGTACCTTTTTTACAGTTCAACCTCGTTTATAAGATACTATTTTCTTTTAATAAATTTTTATTTTGATTCTTCAAAAAAAAAAAAAACAAGGAGAAAATGTATGGGAGATTTTAGAAGATGTCTTCACAATGCAGCAATGCATTGTGCTGGCAGCGTGGCATTGCTTGGAACATATTCAAAATTCGGAGGGCCATCAATCTTGCTTCTTTTGTTCCCTCATCAATTCATCAATACTAAAAGAGTGCAGTAACAAAGAGGAGACAATAGATTGTTCAAACAGCCCAACCTATTATGTTTGGTCTACCCATCTGACCACACCATTCAAACAGACATCGGTCTCACTTGCATCACCATAGTTGGTGATATAAACTCCATGAATTAGTTGCCTATAATAATAGTTGAGTAAAGAAATTAATTATTGTTTCATGTGTTCCCCAGGATTTACCAAAAAAGGTTAGGTGTTTCCTTGGCCGCATCATTTCATTTGTCAGTACTTGATTTACTTTTGTTCATGATGATATAAGCTTAAATGTGCTTGCATATTTTGTATTAGATATTTCACTAAATCATAATTGAAATTAGGGGTGGTCATGAGTCAAATTTTTCATGAGTTATTTGAGCTCAGTTTGTGAAAAACTTGATTTAGCTTGATCTAAACTGAACTTTGAACCGAGCTCGATCCAAATAAAACTTGACTCATGAACCTAATCAAACTTTTACATATATACATACATAATATATAATAAATATCAAAATATTATACATAATAAAAAATATTAAACGTATAATATTTTTATTTTATATATAATAATTAATTTTTATAATTCTTAATTTTTTATATGTCAAATAAAAAAATATATGTATATTTTTTATTTTTATAAAATGTTTGGCTCACAATTGAGCTCGAGCTCAAACTTATGAGTTTGAACTCGAGTCTAATGGTTTTTTGGTGAGCCGAGCTCAAATAGCTAGATATTTGGCTCGATTCAGTTCAAATCCACCCCTAGTTAGGTTAAGGTTTGAATATGATGATGATATGCCACTAAACCCCAATCCTTGGGAACCAAAAATAAGCATGAAATAGGAGGTTATTGTAGCCTATAGCATCTAAGTCTGATAGATGTTGAGCTTTATTTTGAAATTTTGAAAAATAAACACAAAAGARTAATATTGGGTTTTAAAAAATTTATATGTCAGATAAAACGTTAACTGACATTAACAGCAAGGGAGGATCCCATGCGTTAATTTTCTGTCCATATATGTTAGAAGCTGACATCATGTGCAGTTCAAGTTTTTTAAAATTTCAATCTTTCCATCTATTACCTCTTTTTTCATATTTGGTTGTGTCTTATACGGAATAAAAGCCTCCCTTCACAGATGAACAGATATTCCGATTGTCGACGTCTAACTCACCACTGCAATGGTGTTTCAAAGTGATATGAGACAAAAACCAAACCCGAAGCTATCCGTCGTTGAGATGAAGAAAAGTGGAGGTGCATTTCATTCATTTGAGTAGAAGTCATCAGTCGTTGCAACGACAACACCATCTATTGTTGAAATCATCAATAACGACAATAGAAGAGATGAAAAAGGACAGTCGACGCACAAGAAGCCCAGGATTGTTGATTGTCGGAGCTAAACCGATGGTTCTTGAAATAATAAGATTTCAGTAATAAAAGATTGCTTAACAGAAAATTAAAGCACCATTATTTGTTCATTTGATTATTTGGATCACAAGATGAGCATTGGTTTTCGGAGAGAAGAAAAGTGCCCTTGTGAGATGTTAATCGAGCTCCAATGGCGGCAATTGGATGCAACGGTGATATGAACAATAGCCAAGGTTGAAGATGATGTTTTTTCTTTGAATTTAATTACATATCAATCTAATCTCAAAATTAACTGTCAGATCTTCTTGTAGCTTGACAGTCAAAAGACGCATTGAGCTTTTAACATAAGATCTAGGCAGCCCGAAGACAGTTTGGCAGATATGCGCCTTTTCATACGTCTGCTCGCGTATTTCCACGTGAGATTAAAACGCGAAAGATGCGGGAAGTTTCATTTGAAGCTTCCCGAAATCAGCCCGAAATGGGCTTCTTGCGTTTTTTCAACGCACCATCTTTTCGTGGCTAGATCTTCCGTGAGTCAAACGGAAACAGACCAAAAATCGGTCTTTCCGGTTTGTAAACAGCCGAAAGACCGTGCAAAAAAATGTGCCAAAAAGGCCCTTAGTCTTTTACCCTAAAAAAAAGGTACTTGATCAAACTTTGTAGGTTTTTTTTTTTAATCAAATGATAAAAAGACCAAGAATTGATGATGATTTTTTAATTGTCCGGTCTCCKGTGCAGTAACAACGCTAGTGTCTAGTGATGGTCCTCTCTTTCATTCATAAGGTGAGGAAATTGCTTCAATGGATATGGTGTTATGGGCCTAATCTTGTGGAACGCTTAACATCCTCCCAGTCAATTTTAGGGCTATATTCATACACAGACTCAGATACATGAAAGAAATAGAAATTAAGTTACAGTTCTACGAACAATTATAGAGCAGTTAATCTGGTTAATTAAATATCCAACACAGACACCAAGAACTGTGCAATCTGACAATAGAACAGAGACACACACTATTTCAAGTTTTAGTATTGAGTGATCTTTCCTGCCGAAGTTTTCTTTCATCAGAGAGCAGTTTAGCGAACCTAGAAGAAATTGAAAAAGAAAAATGATCATTGTTAAAATTCTCTACACATCTCTGAGGTAGCATGCAGAATAAAATAAAGACAAGAGATTGGTCTTACTTCTTGAGAGCTTCCTCATTAATGCCACCATTTGCAACAGGTTCAGAAAGACCAGTCTCCAAATTGATCCTAGAAACTGGTTTCTTCAACAGTTCCTCTCCCACCTTCACAAGATTCTCCAAGTTTTTCTTGGTAGCAATGTCAACTGAAGCTACAGCACCTGTTAATGTGTCATCCTGGTTTTTCGCATTCAATTAATTAAGAATAACATAATCATCAACTGTCAATGGCCAATGACTCTCTATAAGCCGGATTTATGCAGAAAGAACGTCTATGTGATTAATTACCTGAATCCTAAGATAGTTGCTTTCGGATTTAAGGGCTTGAAAGACCACGGCGATATGAAAATCAACCATATCTGCACCTGCTTGAGTAAACACATCCACTAATGGAGTTGAGCTACCATTAAGAAGCCATCCCATAACGCCCCATTTAGCTGCCATTTTAGCACTGTATTTCATTTCTTTCTTTGGTGAACCAGTCCCTAATGAGATAACTAGAAATCTACAATAGTCCATAGGCTTAATCGGGAAGAAATCTGGATTTTCTCCAAACACTCGTTTGGTCAATTCTCTGATTGCAATCAAAGCCTTAAAGATCGAATTGGGCAAATGTGTTAGTTTAATTAGTACTTGGTCATTTCATTAATAATAAAAACTCTTGCAGTGCGATTACCGGATTATTTGCAGCAACACCACCATCAATAAGGTTGAATTCTCGCACATCCCCATCTTCACCTTCGTTCTTGAAATAATAGGCAGGAAGGTAGGTTGGAGCTGCAGAGGTGGCAATGCAGATGTCTGAGAGTCGAGCATCCATGGCTGATGTTGTCTTGGCCTGCATATGAAAATGCACAATGCCATTTAATTAATGCAAATTTGTGACCATTAACTATGCTCTTCCAGTCTTCCCCTCCCATGCATTTTTTTAAATATTTAATTTTTTTTCTTTCTGGACTTAATATAGGGCTACAAGTCGGGTTGCCCGGTTTAAAGAATTTCAATTACATCGGGCTCGGGTTAGGGTTTAGGCTCATTGAAAATTTAACAAATTCGCAACCCAACCAATTGCACCCCTAAACTTTATATATAGGAATTGAAAACATCCCATGGATGGTTGTTGGTTGACATGGCATTCTTGCCAATCCTTCCTGGATCCCCTGGCCTTGATTGACCGTGTCCATGGTATAACTTTTTGCTCAAACCAGTCCCATGGCCATTTCGTATTTAATTTCTTTTATTTTCTTTGTTTCTATGTTGCATTTGGTTGCACATAAAATAAACCAAAACGAATGGTATCCTTTGAGTATGATATATAATAGGAAAACAAAAGGTTTTCTCAAATTTTCTGATGTTTGGAAATGTCATTTTTTTACAACTAACTCTCATTTAGGACAATGTTTCCAAACATTTCTTATGATGTCATACRCGAAAGGTTCTTAATGTTTCATTAATGAAGGGTATATTTAAGTCCAATGACATCACTGGACAAAGTATGATGAAGTTTGAATAAGTCTATTTAGAAACCTGAGGATTAAAAGTTAATAATCACTATAATTAGTAAGGTGGATAATGTTATACAAAATATCTAGGTTTTTAACTACCTCACATGATCATAAAAAAAAAAAAAAAAGAAATCCATGGCATGTTACAAAATCAATTATTCTCGGCTTTCAATACCAACCAAGGTTTTTAAAATTGAATTGGACAATGAACCAGTTAGGGGTCCGGTTCCCGGGTCGAAGGGTCTGACTGTTTGAACCGAATGAATGGCCTGTTTTGACAAAAAACTAAGAAAATTAAAAAAATACAAACCGGTCAAACCGCACCCAATTCAGCGATTTGCTGACCAAATCAACAGTTTTTGGGGAAATAAACGGTTTCGGGGTAAAACGCCTGACCGGTTCCCAGTTTTTTTGATCCAACCATCCGGTCTGGTCCGATTTTGAAAACCATAGTACCAACTAACCAAAAAAACCAAGTACATGTTATTGCTAATCTAGTTTGTATATTGCCACTCTCTTAGTATTTTTTTTATCTTAATGAAAATAATATTGACAAACAATTTAGAAGCTATATTCCCCCTTGTCTCTGCAATAAAAGGCTCCGCTTGGAAAGATTGCAAATACAAAACGCTGTGATTTTAATGAACCTTGCATGTTTGTATTTGAACTGAACTTTGTTTGCGTTTGCATTCTTTCCAAGGGAGCCAAAAGATATTAAGAGGACATCTGCAACAACCATATCGTGAATATAATTTTCACGTATGAGAGAGAAAGAACCTCAAAAGAGGAGAAGATGATTGGCTGGAGTTGCTTGACATCGAAGGTGGGAATGACAACATTGGTGAGGGCTTGGTGCAACCTTGTCTCCCCGAGCTTTTCTCTTAATATGCCATGGAGATACTTCCCATTATATTTGGGCCCTACAAATATTGATCTGAGCGTCTTTGCAACCGAACCAAATATTCCACTGTACGTTGTTTGTGCACAAATCAAAAGAAAGAAACATACAATATATTTAGTCATTTCTTTGATCAGTGTTTGATGAATGGATTGAAATAATCTTAGTAGGTGTTGGCACCAGAAGAAGAAGTCTCTCAAAAAACCTCTTATTTGGTACATTTTTTTCATAAAAAAATTGCTTTGGACCATGTCTTGAAAATCGAAAAAGTATGGTCTGAAGCAGTGTCAAATATGATGTTTTCTCATAAAAYTACATAGCATTAGTATCAAATAAAACTAGTATTGTTTTTCTACTTCTAAACRAAAAATAAATGCCGTTGTTTATAACTCACACATGCCCAGCAATGTTTTTATGAGAAAACAGTGTAATGTTCCCAATACTAATCCCAAACACCTATATAGCGCTACCTTTAGTACAGCTGAATACTGACCACATCTGTGGGAAAATTTTAGGGCAGTTGTCAAGGTAGAAGGCTGTGACATCTTGAGCAGCAAATAGAGGACGATTGTTTTCGTTTGGTGCAGTTAACATGGCTGTTACCAGACCCCCTGTGCTCGTCCCTCCAATAACGTCAAAGTAGTCTGCAATTCTTGCATCCTCGCCATCCAATTCCTACAACAAACATACTCGACCGATTAGCTTGCGTTTTCAAACCAATAAGAGTTGAAAAATATGATGTAATTAAGCTCTCTGCTCATTAATCTCTCTGTAAACTATACCTGAAGTTGTGATTCAAGGAAGGCAAGAATTGTTCCAGGGATGATTCCTCTGATCCCACCTCCATCGATGCTGAGGACGGTGATTAGGTTTCCATAGGTTGGTGGTCGTTGTATCTGAGGAAGGGACGACGTTGTTCTGTCCATATGAAAACGAGATGAAAGACGTGTAAACAGCTAGGCCGAGATATGTGAAGTAATCAGAAAGATGAAATTCCACCAAATTAAAGTGCTGACTATGTTTGCTGCTTAATTTGATCATTTTGATTCATGAACCAACTGCATATTTATAGAGTTGAACAGAAACAATCCCTAACGAATTCTGAGTTGCTGACTACTTATAACGAAATTGGGTTATTTTTTAATGTAATATTAGCTTTGATAAAGATAAAGTTCTTTTGCGTGAGAACTTGTGTATGCTAGTTTGAAAGGAGTGCAAATACAAATATATATAAATCCATATAAATTAAAATACATAGTTTTGCATTCTACAAATTTGCATTTATCCTCCTTTCGAACTGAGCTTAGTACAAATACAAATATATATACTATATAAATATATACAAAATAATACAAAAAACAAGGTTTTGCACCTTATATATTTGTATTTATACTCTTTTCAGAATAAGTCTACATTGCTAATGAACTGGCTCATTAATTCTGAGACGTTGCTTTCATGGTTCCGCTCATATTTCATTGAACACGATTTCTAGTTCTAGAATCGATCAAATGGCCTTTTCTTTAATTAACACAACTTTTTTTCTCCTAATTAACATTCCCAACCAAGGAATATATGACGGTTACATATTTACTTTCCAATATGGCTCCAATCATAATGTATTTAATTATTTGATGATGTTCCAGCCTCAAAAGTTTTTAGTGAAAGTAATATATACATGAATCATGCAAAATGCCCACATGCCACGGGATTCGATTCAGTTCTCACAAGACTGTGTTTTTATCATTTGCATAGTTTTTTGTAACCTTGCATTTGGAATATTTCTGTACTTATATGTTATTATTTATAGAAAAATATTTCCAATGCAATGCTGCAAGGAACTGCACTGTGAATACAGTCTTGTGAGGACCAAATTCGATTTCACATGCTACATGTTATATTATGGTTCAAAAAATGGTAATGGAATTTCCTCCAAGCAAAAACTATTCAATCATGAACATTCAGCCACACATTAAGAATATCTCCCAATTAATGCATGGAACTATTTCCAATGTGAGGTTGCGATCAGGATTCCAAAAAAACAACATGAATAGAACAGTGTCTAAATAAAAAGTAAAAAAGGAGCCAAGGATTTATCTGAATTCTACACCAAAATCCCCTTTTGAATAGCGCATGCAGCACTACACTAATAACCCCATTCTCAAAATCGGTGGTTGTGAGATTCAAATCCGAGTCTAAACCAATTAATATACCAACTGAGCCGGCCATCCTTCCGTTAACCAATACTAGCTATTATATGAATAAATTTATTAAGGCTCAGTATGAAAAAATACAAATACAAATATATAATATAAATATATATATATATATATATATATAATACAAGATTTTACACTTTTATATTTATATTTACTGAGCCTTTAAGGATTTATTCAGCTGAACTCAAAACCCGATTAAGCCAGACCCAACACGAACCGATGGGGTTGGTTTGAAGCAGGCCCAACCCAATACTGCAGGAAGCATCATATATAGAAGTTGTGCCTGCCTAGAAAAATGGCACGTGGGATAAAGTGGCATACTAGCTAGGAATGCACTGATGACAGTCAGATTATTTCTCTAACCCTAAGGGACGTCTGCTTTGTCTCATCTATATACAAATTTAAAAGATATATGTGAGATGTTTAAGGGCCCGTTTGACATTTTTTTTTTTGAGAAAATATTTTTGTAGCTCTGACAGTTAAAAGATGCATTGAGTTTTTGACATAAGATCTGGACAGTTCGAAGATAGTTTGACAGATACGCATCTTTCTATGCATATGCCCCTATCTTTCCATGTAAGATTAAAACGCGAAAGACGCAAGAATCTTCATTTGAAGCTTCCTGAAATRGACTTCTCGCATATTTTCGATTCACCGCCTTTTGATGACTAAATCTTTTATAAACTAAATGGGAATAGATCAAAAATTGATCTTCCTGACTTGTAAACAGCTAAAATACGGTGCGAAAAATGCGTCAAACGGGCCCTATATCTTTACCCAACTGAAATTCATATTGCACGGAACCACTAAATCCTACCAACCTTCTTCTCTTCATCAACACTTATCTTCATTAATTGTCGTGAAAAGCATGCCTTTGCGAGCTTGCTTACTTTAGTTTCATACGGCACAATGCTTTATTTAATCTCAGACAAATTATGACACGTGGCAAAGCTGACCACGAGCTATCACGGTCCAAGTCAAAAAATGATATTGAATTTCTGATGCGAAAACACATGTTTTTCTTTTAAACTTGAGCCCACACAAAATATTTCATCTTTCATGAATCATGCAATGTCTGTATTCCAGTGAGCAATTATCAGAAATACCATTTCGACTTTTCTTTAATGGGGATGGCAACAGAACATTTTTTTAGGTAGTTATCATATTTTAATTGTAATAATTTTTTAATAAGGCTGCATTTGATTTCGGTGAAAAATCGTCTATGTAAATGTTAGTCGATCAGTTTTAAAATTTGAATGGACCACTGGAGGTTTTTTATGTGATAATCAATATAAATGTATTTTGATAATTTATTGTCGATGGAAAAGTTAGCCGATTAGATGATTTACATCAATTTTCGATGTAAACATTACATTGGAAGCAAATGCATAAAAATAGGGACTGGATGTATAGAATTTTACATCAATTTATATTTATACTGAAAATAAATACGTGAAATGCAAATTCACAGTAGAATTTTATGTCGATTTGCATTTACACCGAAAACAAACATAACCTAAAAGAAAAAACTAAAACACTTTGAACACATAGGGATAGGGATGTGCCAGCAATAATACATGATTTGTTTTGTACGTAATTTAAAAAAATAATAAAAAAAATACAAATTTTAGATATCTTGAACCGATCGATAACCTCTTCTTCCATGAACACAAGGAATTACTTGACGCAGAGTTGACCCAGGAACAGTTAGTTTTCCCCTTCTTGTAAGCTTACAAGTTCCAAATAATATAATTAATATGGTACATTGACCAGATTAAATCGTTTTGGTGACTGCTTTCATTTTCATAACTACTTCAAGCGATTAAACAATTTAAGGGAAGGTTGATTCTTTCAAGTTACAGAAGTGGCAAATGGGAACCTCCATGCACTAAGTTAGGAGACAAAACAACAACATATGCCTAGCCTCAATGGACTAGTTTTGGATTGCATCCCATCCAAATCAAAATCAATTTGGACACGGATTGGATGGACTAACAAGACATATTAATGAATCGGATCAATCCAGACTTAATAGTCCAAATTATTTATTGGATTGAATTGGATATGGTCCATCCATAATGAATTTATATTGGATCAGGTTGGATTGAGCCAATATCTGGTCTACTGATAGAAGATAAGAGTATAAGTGTCAATGAACAGATTAGACAGTTTAGACCTTGAATTGGACCAGTCCAAAATGGTCCATATATTCTTTGGATTGGATTGGACCTGGTCCATTTGTAATGGACTCACATTGGATTGGATCAAAATCCAGCCCAATTGACACTCGTAGCCACATCTAAAGAATTAGTCTACTCCAGATGACTAAGAGAAAGTCTAGTGGTTGAATCATGTCATAAAATATTGGAGCCAAAAGTTATGGGCTACCTTATATAGGCTCATCTTAGGCCCTGTTCGTTTTCCGGAAAATAAGAGGGGGAAAGTGATTTCCATTGACCAAATTTACATTGTTCTTTTTTTCTATAAGAACTGGGTCCCACAATAAAGTTAGTTTCCTTGGGTGTCATTTTACCTAGGTAAATGATACTCATCTCCCAAGTGGGTAACTTTCCCACGTAGGAGAAAAGTTTAAAAAACACAATGGACAAGTTTGCCTATTTTAATATTGACTTTTTATGGGTAAAAATAAAGTTATTAAATTACTTACCTGGGAATCAAAAGAACATGGATAAGTAACTTTTCCACCTAAGAGAAAAGTTTATAAAACACAATGGTACAAGTGTGTCCATTTTAACAGTGGCTTTTATGGGTAAAAAAGTCATTATGCAACTTACCTGAGAATCAAAAGAGCATGGGTAAGTAAACTTACCCAGGTAACTACTTCCCAAAAAACATTTACTTGGGTAAGTGCATTTACCCGAGTAAGAGACCTTTTGAAGAAGGAACAAGACCTTAGTTTGAGAGGAAACTTTTAACCATAAAGATAATACAATTGGCCTAAGATATGAAGTTGCAAGCTGTAAAATCTCATACCAACAAGTCTGAGAAACCTAGTTCAACTTTGAGGTTATCTAGGGTTATGTTATCTTTGTGTTCTATGGTTTTTTGAGAATTCAAATTAGTGTCTTAACCTATGTCATCTTCTAGTTATTTTTTCTATTTTTTTATCTTTTCATTTGGAACTTGGAGGGGGGGGAATTACATAGAGGGTGTTTGGCAAGTCTTTATAGGTGGTCTTTCAGCCTTTTAAAAATTTTGTTTTTCTCCGTATGACAATGAAAGACAAGAAGCCAAAATACCTATGGCTTAAAAACTCATAGAAGTCCAAAATGACCAAAGATCATTTAACAACTCTTTAGAAGTGTTCTGTGAGACAATTTTCAAGTGGAGTGAAAATCAAACGAGTTCAAGTCAATAGCGCCCCCAAAGGAGAAACAGTGGAAATGGCGGAGAAGGATGACCAAGGAGATTAGCCAAAGATGTTAACCAAAAACACCTAGAAGACAAAGGATTTATATGTGAAGGTTTTATCGGACAAACCCTTGAGCATGTCCGATGTGATTGATTAAATACGAAACATGTGGTGGTGGATTAAGGGAGATATGCAAATCGAAAGAGAAAATGAAGATATTCTATGGATATCCTTCTCAAAAGAAAAGGATATGAGAAATATACTAAGGGAGGAGCCGTGGGCAATCAAAGAATACCCGCTCCTGCTAAAAGAACAATCTGGTGATATCCTAGTATCTGAAGTGCAACTGAACTCCATCAAGGCTTGGCTTCGTATCCTAGATGTGCCAATAGCATATAGAACCAAGGAGACAGGGACAATGCTAGAAAAGGYAGCAAGAGAAATCATCGAAG